TCGCAACAAATAACATTTTCAATAACAAGTTATTAGTTTATGAATTTAAGCAAGAGATTTTGAAGTAACAACTTGCATATAAAAAATAAAAAAAGTTAAATTTGTTATTTTTGTAAAAGTTATATTTGTTATAATTTGTATTTTTATTTAAACCTCTTTATATATGAGCTTATTCTTTTATATATTGAAAATGACAATGTTCTTGATTAAAAATTTTAATTCCGGTTTTTATGAAGACGATCTTTTTAATAATCCTTCTGAAGGGAACCTAAATATTTTTCAAAAAATTTAAATGAATTTAACAAAAAACCATAATTTATTTTTATGAATTTTAAATTAAAAAAGATAAAAGTTAATTTTTTATATTACACTTAAAAATGACAAGCATGCGTAAAAACTTTGAGAAATTTAAACAATTTTCAGAAATTGTAAATTACACAGTCTAAGACTTGGCATGAATTACATTCTAAATATAGCTTGTCAAATTACAGACTAATTAGCCAACCACAAGGAAATAAAAAAAAGTCAAGGATTAGGTGTTTACGTTCTTAAAAAGTATACATTTAAAATAAAAAAATCTATTTTACGCTGCAAATAATAATTACAAATGTTTTTTTATTCAAGTAATCTAATTATAATAAAAGTGTGTATAAAAATCGGCTAGTGGTAAAATTAAGTCATTTCAATATTTTATCAAAATTGTAGTTTCAAAAAGAAAGAAGAAAGTTATATATCGTTAGTGACATAAATTTGAACGCCCTACCATTTCAGAAATTTCCTAAAACGCAATCTTTTCTTGACATTTATTTAAATACTACATTTTGCCTGTAACTAATAAACCGATGCAGGTCAATAAAACTTTGCTACTGCCTTTGATAATTTTTTTATTAACAAATACTTAGAGACATCATTTTATGCAGGGATTTATCCCAGCAAACAAAAAGACATCTTTAAGCTGTCTTAAAGACTTTTCAAGATTAACAAAAACGTCTTAGAGATATCTTAAAAAGGTCTACGTTGTCCGTCGAAAAGACGTCATACTCAAGATTGCTTAAAGACGTCTTACTAAAGACTGGATTAAAACGTCTTTTGTAAACGGCCTAAAAACGTTTTATTTAAGATATCTTAAAGATGTCTTGAAAAGGTCTACGTTGTCCGTCTAAAAGGCGTCATACTTAAGATTGTTTAAAGACGTCTTACTAAAGACTGGTTTAAAACGTCTTATTTAAACGGCCTAAAGACGTTTTATTCAAGACATCTTTTAGGCGTTTAGTTTAAATAAAAATTAGCGTCTTAAAGACGTCTTAAAATAGCTAAGTAAATAAAAGACGTCTTAAAATAGCTAAAAATAAGTTAGCTGGATTGTATTTTTCTATATAACAACTTATACAGCATATAACATATATACAACAAAAACAATAAAAAATAATAATTCATTTTAGTTTGTATTTTTCCGCGATGGAGCATTTTTTCAAAAATCGTCCAATTTGCTGTTTAGTATCAGCGTTTGAAACTTTTTCAAACTTTCTTTTTACAACTTCTAAAAATCAAATAAAATTTACAGATAAAATAGTAAGATGTAAACAAATAATTTTGTCGAACAAAAATCTTGAAAATAATTTTAATTTAACACAGATATTTAATTAAATACTAAATAATATTAAAAAATATTAATATGTTAAAACTCTTTTTTATTACCTTCTATTACATCATATTGTTTGGTTGATGATAAAACAATCTTTCCAAAAGAACCTTTTAAGTTGAATTGTGTCAATAGGGTATTTATAAATAATCTATAACACATAATGAATAAATATAATTTATGAAAAATAAGCAATTTACCATCCCAACGGGCATTTTTTATATATCTTACGTTCTGAATGTATTTTAAGAAAGTATTTAGTATTTTACATGTATTTTAGAAACATTAAAGATTTTTTTTTTAAAAAAAGAAGCAAATAATTTAATAAGGTACATAAAATACAGCTAGTTGGATTGTTAATTAATATCTTTCTATATAACAATTTACACAAAATAAAAAAGATTTCTATATGAAAATTTACAGAAAAAATAAAAAAGAATAATTCGTTTTATTTATTTTTTTCCCGCGAAGGAGCATTTTTACAAAAACGTCTAATTTGCTCTTTAATTTCAGCATTTGAAACCTTTTCAAACCTTCTTTTTACTACTTCTAAAAATCAAATAAAGCATAATGTAGGATGTATTCGTCAAATATATTGAAAAAAACTTAACATAGATTTTTAATTAAATTAAAAGTGCAACAATTAAAATTTATTTTTGACCTTCTATTACATCATATAGTTTGGTTAAATGTAAACCAATCTTTCCGCCAGAACCTTTTAAGTTGAACTGTGTCAACAGGGTATTTGTAAATAATCTATAAAACATATCAAATACACAGTAAAATTTATGAAAAATATTAAACAATTTACCATTATTGATTTCCAAAATTACTAAACCTAAAAAAAATTGACAACAA